CAAAAAGTACACTTGTACAATAAGAATAGGACAAGTGTCCCAAAATTTTACTCCCAAACGGTTGTGACCCTAGGTCACATTGTGACCTGGGTCACCCATTTTTGTTGATTTTTCTATTTTTTTTTTTATTTTTCGTTTGTCTTTTCCTGGTGACCCAAGTGCTTGGGTCACCGATAAACAAAGGCTTAATTGGGCTATTGTGTGGGCTAATAGAACAATAAAACGGGCCAATTTCCTTCACAATGTGGGCCTTGTTCTTAGGATAGTGCTAATGCACAACTCAGCACACTCGCACACCGTCTTCAACCGATTCACACTGTTTTTTACTTAAAAGATTAATTCAAACCTATTTCCGGCTAAAATTCAAAATAACACACCTCATCATAGCTTAATTACAATAATAATAATAATAAACTAAATATTAAACTTCAACGAAACAGGAACAAAAAACACTATAAAATGCACGTAAAAACAACATATGTTATTATTATTTTCAATTATAATGCATACGTCAACGTTCAACGCCGAAAGTCAATGACAATCATCGGAATTAGTGCCACAAGTCAATGGTCATGATCAATGATCAAATGGTCAACTTGATATTTAAATAATTTAAATAAAATATAAGAGATTAAATCTTGGACTCACATCATGATCCCTATTTAATGACTAGGATTGAGTCTCAGATACTAATTTTAAATAAGTAGACTCATTAGAACCAATCTTTATTTACAATTTTATATCATTGTAAAGAAATCTTATATTATATATAGTATATTAAATTAGATATAAATAATATTAATAAACAAATATTCGATAAGTTCGAATCAAATATGTGCATATTTGGATTTGAATATGAAGTAATTATGAATACTAAACACTATTCTTATTCAAAACCGAATTTTTTAGAATACGAATTACGTATACCGAATTCGAATCACGAATTGAATCGAAAATGTTTGATTTGTTAACAATGCTAGTTGGGTCACTAGTAATATAAAGGCAGTCTTACGACGTGTGTATTGGCATGCTTGGATGCAAATATATTCACTCAAAACGAGTTTTTTTGTTAATAAGAGTTAATTTTGAAAAAAATGAGATGGTTAGTTATTAAATTTCCTATTCACCTTCTCAATGATGTCTTTATAAGTATGCTTTATCACCCAAAAAAGCGGGGTACCTAAATATTTCTCAATCTTACCAGTGCTTCTAATAATATTTTTAGTTTATATTAATATAATACTTAAAATAAATTTATTAAAGTTTATTTAATGTAAAAATAAAAAAATGATGTGAATATACAAAAAAATTAAAATTATTTGAATTTATAAATAACAAATTAAAATTGATGTAATATATAAAAATGATGGATTGATATATTTAATTATATTGATGGAGCTTTTTAATAAACAAACACACCACCCAAAACATTTGAAAAAAAAAAAAAAAAAGAATGGGGTGATAGTTACTCGTGGCATGATCTCAGCCGTTACTTGTACAGAGAAGTTTGCCTTTCACCGTCGGGCTTAATTTGTCTGCACCACTGTTCATTTTTGAATTCTCGGACCACTCAAGTCTCCTGTCTCTCTCTAAAATTCTCACTCAAGAACAACGTTGTACTCGATCTCTTCTCCTATTTCTTCTCATCCTCTGGAACAACCTTCATGTGCAGATTCTCAATTTCACCAATCTGTTTCTATAACGGACTCAGTATTTGGGATTTGGTAATGACAGTCGAGGTTATCTGGTCGGGTCGGTGCATTTCTGTTGTCGGGTTTGAATTCGTCCAGCTGAGTTTGGTAAGTCGCCGAATTCCTCAGCTCTCGAACTTTTCAGTTTTCCTAATTTTATGTTGTTTTTTTGCGGATTTCATAAGTTGAGTTCCTTTCGGTCGAGTGTTTTTGGATATATGATATCATAATTGGAGTCATAATGCGGCTTGGGTCTCTTCCAGCTTAACCAGTGGGATCGGGGGATTGTTAACGTTATACTCTCTGTGTCTATGCATCTATCTTTACCTGGTTTATTGTTTTGTTCGTTTATCTTTTTTGTTTTTGTTAAGATTACTCAGTTCTTCAACAGAATCAACTTTGTTAGAATCATCAAATCGAATTTTCTGAGTTTTGACTGTAGGTATCAAACTAATCCTACTGCTCCATTGGCTTACGAAATTTCTCTGTTGTTCGGGCTTAAAAATCTTGGTCATATTTGAAATTTTATGATTTTAATTTTTAAGTTTCTTAATTTTTATCTAGTGTGGAAGTTTCTTGTTGAGTGAATGAATGACCCATCAAGTAAGTTCACCCATGCTGTGGAAAATTTTGGTTTTGAGTTGTTCCCCTGCCGGTTTAGGTGTTTCAGTATTTGCGCGTAATGCATTGTTAACATTCTTGTGTTGGGAGTTTGAATTTGTATATTATTACAGGCTTGATTGTCATTAGAATACTGTGCATCCATATAAAATGTTGTCGGTAGTTTTTGAAAATTTGACCTTTTCATGTCATCAACCAATTTTAGTTGTAAACTTCTCTGCCATTCGTTAGTCTTAAAGTTAAAACTTCTCAACACGCGACAGAGTTACATAAGTTGTTTGCACACCTCTGTCAATGGATGGCAGTATGGTCTGCATTTAATATTGTTCAACGGATACTTAATGCTGACAATGTATTTTCAATAACATGCTACAGTATTTAAAAATTTACCAACTACAATATTTTCAATAACATGCTAGATTAGGTATAGAAGTGAATATTTCCTGAAGTGCTTCATCTTTATTTGTTATTCTGTATCTGTACCATTCTTGAGTGTCTCCTGAATTTTCATCACTGTCATTCGTGCATTCTTAGCCTTGGACTTCATTCTAGATTGGGACACCTTGTATGTTTTGGCGAAGACATTCTGGAGAAAATCGCAAACTTGTGGGATTCAACATATGCGAATTTTCTTATTTTCCAAGTGATAATGGAAAGTGATAGGATCAGAGACACGCTCCCAGATAGTGTACGCAGAATTCGAGCTTCACATGGGTAAATGATTTACTAATGTATATTGTCGTTTTTCATGTTGTAATGTAATTGATTACCTTCAGGTTCTTCTTTTGCTCACCGATTGTGTTCTTTTCAATCTTTTCAATCAAACAACGTGGACATTTTATTTTATATTCCTTGGAACTACTTTACATGACCACTTGTACATTGTTCAGTAGGACAACTGGACCCGCACGGCGTTCAACAAAGGGGCAATGGACGCCAGAAGAGGTATATCGAAATAATTTTTCATGATTGCGAATTCATCTTTATATCTGCGTTTGGTTTTTAGTGTTATCCGATTTTGGTATTTATTTTTTTTGATGTGTAAAATGTACATACTAAATACCAAATGGTGCATTATATGAATGCACTATGTTTTGGGAAACCTGCATTTGATGATAGCAAGTAATGTGTTATAAATTGTAGCCATTGCGACCCCTGCACATAAATATATGGGATCTTATCTTCTTTGAAATGTTTCTTCACTATTTTCAACTGACGAGTTTAGAATTGAACTACTATATAGTAGCAATAGTTTTTATCTGCAATAAATTTGTGATTTTCCTTCCAATTTGACTTGTAACATGAACACGATTGTGATTGCTTGACTCTTATGTGATGTTATGTGGAAAGGTGTCCTGAACTGCAATTTTAGTATGGTTTGGGTTTCCCAACCAGCAGCCAGCGGATTTCTTTCTCATGAAATCTGACATTTTTTTGGAGAAATTAGTCATATGAACCTGACTTTTTTTGGTATGAAGAAGGTTTTATTTGAAAGAAATTTAACGGCCATAATAATAACTTTTAGGCGGAATAGGATAAACCGTAGGCATGTTGTTCTATCAAATCATAGATCACAAATCTTGCATTAATTAAATTTCACATAAAACTTACAAGAGTCCATATGTTTTTTTTATCCTTGTCGACTCCAGATCAATGATCGTCTCGGTCGTCTTACTCTAAAGCTGTGCTCCTTTTCACCAATGATTTCTTCTCCTACTAGGCGAGAGAGGGGCATGTAACGATATCTATATAGAAGGAGATCTATTAACCAAATCTTATTAATGTTCTTCATGCAAGTCAAACATCACAAGTTGGTGATGATAATATTGAATCATTAGTTAATCCATTAAATACATATTCACAAAATTATGTATGATTATTGATTCAGTTAGTCCCAACGTACTATATGGTCCCCAATAATAACAGAAGAATATAAAAATTATTCTTACGTTATTTTTTATATGTAAATAAATGTAAACTGCAATAATCTAATTATCCTTAATTGAGTCTGGCTGAATTCCTCTTTCTCTTTATCTGCTGATAGAGTTCCAGCTAACATGTAGTGTATTGAAAGTGCATGAGTGGATTTCTAGCTTTACTTCTCCTTTACCTTTGTATTTAGATTTGAAACCATCCATATGGGAGAATGACTATCTAATTTGCCATATTCCTAATTATTTTTCTTTTTACCTACAGGATGAGATATTACGCATGGCTGTTCAGCGTTTCAAAGCCAAAAACTGGAAAAAGATAGGTAGAAATATGATGTTTTCATTTTACCTGTCCCTACATTATTTGTTTGGGTATTCTAAACTGTATTTATCTCATTGAATTTGATTATAGTTTTCTGGTATCTCGAGTTTCTCCTGCCACGCGTCCATTTTGACAGTCTCTAGGCCAAATCTAACTGTTCTTGTGCTTTTTCGTATTTTTCCACGTAATGATATGTGCAGCCGAGCTTATCAAGGATAGGACAGATGTGCAGTGCTTACACAGGTGGCAGAAGGTTCTTAATCCAGAACTTGTGAAAGGGCCATGGTCAAAAGAGGTTGGCAAAGATCCCTGTATTTCTTTCTTTTGCACGTCCCATTCATCAAATACAATGTAACGTTATCACTCTTTTTTCACAAGTTAGGAGGATGAAATAATTATCGAGTTAGTGAACAAATATGGACCAAAAAAGTGGTCCACCATTGCACAGCATCTTCCCGGGCGCATTGGAAAACAATGTCGAGAAAGGTAAGCTTCATCATTGAGCTATACAGGAATTTTTTCATAATTATTAGTTCTTATTCAATTTCCTTGAATCCTAAGCATATGTTTCAATTTTATTTTTGTGCCCACGCAGTATGCCTTATGCATCATAGATTATTTGTTTCTCAGGTGGCACAACCATCTCAATCCCGGCATAAACAAAGAAGCTTGGACTCAAGATGAGGAGTTGGCATTGATTCGTGCCCATCAAATTTATGGAAACAAGTGGGCAGAATTAACAAAATTCTTGCCTGGCAGGTACTGAAGTACAGTTCATTATGGAGAACAGTAAATCAACTGTATATCCAAAATATAAGAAAAAAATTCAGTCATTCTAATATCACATTGCATGTTTACCCAAATCAGAAGCGACAATGCAATAAAAAATCATTGGAATTCTTCTGTCAAAAAGAAACTGGATATGTACTTGGCCTCGGGGTTACTCTCACAATTCCAAGGTCCACCTCTTGTTGGCCTATCGAATCACTCTCTGGCATCTCCTTCCTCAGAGGCACAAAAAATTAGAGAAGACAACACTCCCCAAACAGAAGCTGATGAAGTTTCGGAAGGCAGTCAATCTTCGTATGTCCCCAATTTATCTCAAGAAGCCGCTTATGTCACACCAGAAGAACCGTGTGGGCCCAGTGAAAACTTTCTCGAACATAATTTTTCTCTAGATTGGAGTGAACTCGACACGGACGAGCTGCCAGGCCTGTCCTTGATAGATGTTGGGCAGGAATCATCTGGGCAGCTCATGTCATCTTCAAGTGGCATGAACGATCGAGAGCTGATTCCCAGTGCTTACATAGAACTAGGTGGTTATACTTCCGTGGATAATACTGTTTGTGCGGATGGATCTAATCTGATAGCAGATAATGATAAACACCCCTCTGGTGATGTTATCAGGGACTTTAATGGACAGGAAGACCCATTACTTAATCATGGTCTATCTTGTTGGACACCTTTACCCATTCAAGATCAATATAATTCTCCACCCCATGTAAATGGTGACTATGAATCTATTTTACCAACTACTCCCGACGGCTCCATCGCAAAGTTGATTCCAGTCAACAACTTTGTCTTGGCACCGTTGACTGAGTCGCACAACGATGGTAAAAATCGGGTTGATTTGGGTAATCGGGAGGATTCCGGAGCTTTATCCTACGAGCCTCCTCGTTTTCCAAGCTCGGAGATTCCTTTCCTCAGTTGTGAGCTTGTACAATCTGGGGGTGATATGCACCAAGAGTTCAGTCCGTTTGGCATCCGCCAACTTACTAACATGTTCAAATTGTGGGATTCGCCTTCAAGAAATGAAGATAATAGCCCCGTGGCCATTTTGAAAAGTGCGGCTAAGAGCTTTTCGGGCACGCCCTCTATACTGAAGAAAAGACAGCGGGATTTGCTGTCTCCTCTGTCAGAAAAGAGGGGTGAGAAGAAGCTTGAGGGTATTTCAAAGGATTCGATTTCGGAACTGAGGAATGATATTTGTAGGTTGGAGGTTATGTTTAATGAATGTGCAGATGGGAAAGGGGTATTGCCATTATCCCCAGATGTTGGAGGGAATGTGAAGGCGAGTTGTGCTGAGAAAGACGACATTCATCCTGCTTATGAAGTGTCTGAAAGCATTATCTCACGGAAAGAGTGCAGTGTTGTCGAGTGTTCTGAAAAGATAAAAATTTGGGCTGGTGAGGCCGAAATTGAAACCAAAACGATTGATCAAAATGCAACTAATGTGGTATGTTCTTCATCTTCATCCTTTTTTCTTTTTGGTTGTTCTCTTCTTATCCATCAATGTTGGTTGAAGGACAATTGGTAAAACTAACTGATTGGAAATGAGAGTTGAGATTGTGATGAATTTTGAGCCTAAATTTTTTAGTTCATTAGTTACAATGAGTCAATATGTATTAAATTTATTAATTGTCTGAAAATATTGATTTTTATTATTTTGAATTTCAGTTTTTGGCTCGAGGTTTTCACAGGAATACATCAACTGTAATTATTTAGTTATTTATTTATTTTTTATTTTGTATAACTTTGGCAAATACGTCAATAGGTCAATCATATGCTACTGTTTCTTTATGACAGGCCAAAGATTCTTCTGGGATCTTAATCGAACATGATACAAATGATCTGCTATTCTTCTCTCCTGACCGCTTTGGATTAAAGGGTGATGGATCATCTGGTGTGAGTGCCAGAGCTATTTTATCTCCACCTCTGCGTTCGTGCTTTTCTGTTGTTTGCTCACCTCGACTCTGTACAGAGGACAACAGTAATAATTGTCTCGTAACTACGTCACTTCACTCCCAGAGTCCTTCAGACAATAAAGTTAAAAGTTCCGGAGGAGGCAGAAATCTTGAAAACAATAGAATGTAAGATGAATGCTTTTTGAAGACACTTTATTTTATTAGTTTGGACTTTGCATATATTTACTTATTTTTCTTTTTTGTCAATTTTTTTATGGGCTTTTTCAGATACATGGAGACACCATTGAAGAGGAGTATAGAATCTCCTTCAGCTTGGAGATCTCCTTGGTTTATGAATGCTTTTGTGCCGGGACCCAGGGTTGATACAGATATAACAATTGAGGTTTCGAGAAATCCCATGATCTGTCAATAAATTTGTATCACATTTTTTTTTTNCTTGTGATCTTATCCTCATATTATGTGGTTTTGCAGGACTTTGGTTACTATTTGAGCCCAGGGGACCGTAGTTATGATGCACTGGGGCTAATGAAGCAAGTTGGAGAGCAATCAGCAGGTGCATTAGCCAATGCCCACAAGATATTGGGACATGAAACTCCCGAAACATTGCTTGAAGGGAAATACACAATCATGAACAAGGAAGCTGAAAAGGAAAACATTCAGAGTCCAAATTCTCATAACGGACATTTATGTTCAACTTCAAACATCATGGTATGATTTGACACTACTCTCTCTCTCTCTCTCTCTCTCTCTCTCTCTCTCTCTCTCTCTCTCTCT